GTTGGTGACAGACTGCGGTTGTGGTTGCCAAGAATAGTTTGCCTGCACTCAGTTTTGCAATAAGAACCCTTTCTTTGGCCATTTTCCGCTAACCGCGTTATGGCTTTGGAGAACTATGTGCCCATCGAACCCACTGAAGAGCATATTCATAGACTACATGATATGAAAATAAACTACTGCCCCCCTCCTTCACCCTATAAGTTCCCGGGACAATGACTGCAGTGACGGTTTTCCTCTGTGTGTCAGAGGAAGAGATGAGAATTGAATTAACAAGTGAGAAACCTTAAGGCCAGAAAAGTGTTAACAACGTTTGGAATGACGTGGCAATGACCTTCCACAAAGAGATTCCGAGAGGCCAACTGACAACTGCGCATTAAAGAAGCCTTGACCCTCTACCCATCGGCCTGTACTTACGTACAACTTCGGAAACATCCATGAGAGGCGGTCGAAACGTCACTACTGAAATACGATGCGCCGATCACTATCTGGGTTCAACGGCGTTCATGTGTATTTACGGAAAGAGCCGACATTCTGAGAAACGGAGACCAGGATGTTAGATTTATCTATATTCCTGTTGTATTGAACTTGGCTTTCGACGCACAACTCCTCCAAGGCCAGATTTCACGTGTACATCATCGCCCCGTGGTCCAACTCGGAATGATGGGTAGGGGGGGGGCGGAGGAACTTAAACACAAACGGTTCCATGATATATCAAATTTTGTTCCATTATAATACCGGGTTTCAAAATTTCAACCTCATGATTGAGTAGTGAGGAATGACAATCAATGAATTATGGGATCTGTTGCCAGGGTGCAGTTGCAGGCATTTGTAACCCAAGCGTCCAGAACTGTCACTTCAGACAATGGCAACGTTGAACTGTTTTTTATAACTGGTAGGCATACTCGAACGAGCTGACTCTTCACCTCTCCTGCGGTCTGCCTTGGGCTGCTACCAAAACGTTTTGATGTACAGCTGCTGCGAGAACACGATGAAGAAGAACCTCTATGTTGAGCCTTTCCACAGCTGTGTTGAGGACATTATCATGTTCCCGACGGTGAGGAACCGCCTTTAACTCTTAGCTTGTTCAGAAATAGATATTTGATTACCAAGCCATGCAAAAAAGAATTGGGAGTCACCGATCACAACTGTTGATTAATCAGCAGTTCATAGCCGATGCCAATTAATCTTCGGACATAAACCCATGGCACATAAATTCTCAATGACCTGATTTTACGATTTAATTCGCCGTCCACCGTCGCTACTTGCTTGATTGGAGGGGGTGGTCATTGAAACATGTCAATATATTATGGCATCTCAGCATCTACAGTGCTAAGTGCCGAGCAAGATGTTTGCTAGATGAACCACATCTAATCACGAACAGTGTTTCAGAGCTGATACTCCGTAGTTGCGTCTGTGTGAATATTAAAATATGTTAATACCTCAGCGTATATCAAATAGGGCATAAATTCGCAAAGACCAGATGCAAGTCATTTTTGGTATTTAGAATTTCGTTTCTTCCTTAGACTCAGAACTTAGTGGTGGCGGATTCTAGCCCCGGTAGGGTAACTCGCCTTTCTTCCTTTTAAGCAACATAAATGGTTACCACTGTGTCGGAAGAGAACAGGAACATCACACACCGAGCTTGCCACAAAGCTGTACACTCTGCCTTTAAAGCAGTAAGTCATTCCTGACTGATAGCAGGAAATGAAGGGCACCACAATTGACTTATGTAAGAGGAACAAAAGACCTGGACAGAGTAACAATTCTACAACTGATGCTGTCCATTCGATGATCGTTATTCAGATGAAACAGAAAAACCTTCGGACAGAACGTAACTGGATTAATTACAAGTACGAAACTTCTGCAAAACTATCTCCTCATACTTGTTTGCTGTCGTCCTGAAATTGGCCATGGCAAACTCCATCATCGTAAACTTCTCCTTCGCTTCGCCGCTGGGGCGCGACACATTAATGGCACGTGCTTTGCCAGAAGGCACGTTGTAATATTCGGGAAGCTAAATTGACAGCAGATGAATTATCAATAAATATGCATCGAAAATAAACAAACATTATTCATGAACTATTTTGAATCTCTTCTCCATCCTGTACACAGATGTATTTTTATATAATATACACTTGCGTCTCAAATTATGGACCGAGAAAAAGGAGTCGAATTAATCATAAACACATTATCATAAAGAATAAACAGAAAAATAAGGTCACTAAGAGAGGATCGATGAAGAATGATGAATAGAAGAATCAAGAGCATGAAAGCATACCCTTGCCCCCGCGCATGGACTCACTTTTTTGATATAGTAGCGGTCTTCGAGCAGGGGCCATCGGAACGAGAAACAGCAGCAGTGGTATTTATAGACGGGGGTGGACTTTGGGATTTCGTCTACGACAAATCTGACATCGCCGCCGCCACCGCCGCCGCCGCCGCCACCACCACCACCTCCGCCCTGCCTCGGAAACATGGTTTACCACGAGAGCCAATTATTCAATCAAGGTTCCAAAAAGTTGGGTCGGCCCGGCAGGCGACGGTCTGAGCTTTGGCACCGGAGAACATATTTCATCTAGTGATTGTTGTCGATGTCGTGGCGGCGACAATCGTCGTTGGTGTCGCTCGTGCATCGCCGAGGTTTGTTTCTCTTAGTTTTTTCTCGACAACACGGAACAGCGTGTACTGCTGCGGGCAGTGGT